ATAATTCTCATCACAATTTCTATCTAACCACATTGCAGATCTTTGGTGGGAATTAAAAAATTGTTTTATTACCACCGTGCATGATTAAGTAAATTCCCAACACAAATGACTTATGGTCTCTCTGCACATTGCTCAGTCCAAAGGACCTATTTCTACGCGCAGGAGGCATATTCGACTCTTTCTCATCAAGCATCCCAATAGTCAAATCGATCAAAGCCTTCTTAGCACGAAGAATCTGTCCTTCTCCAATGCTCCTTTGATTGTCCAATGCAAACAAAACAATCTCCAACTGCTTTTGCCATTGTCTAATCACCTCAATCCCATCACGAATTGCATTACAAACATCTAAACCCTTAACACTCGTCTCAAAGAACTCATTCATATATCGATCCATGGGAGCTTTATTCTAGAATCCCTTATTATTAAAAACAATAACCCGAAATTTTTCTTGAATACAGAGAAATACTTCTAAAAGTTTTTGAGTCCACGGGATTGAAAGAAGCTGAAGCTGCCAATTCATGAAAGTTTTCAGCCACAAGTTTCTGAAATGCTCCCAATTCCATTTCTTGGGCAGTGGCCTCATGAGAAAACTCCATAGAATGCACTTTATCTCGGCGCCTGCTCAAAATTGAAAACCCCAAGCTTGAAAACAATGCAGATGGTGCTTCTTGACAATCTGTTGCTGGCATTTCTCAACTTACACAAAATAGAAAAATCAAAATTTTACCAAAAAAATTCTTGAAATGGACCATTGAAATTCAAACTCCAAGCAACCCAAAAACAGAAAAAACACAAAAATTTCTTAAAGACCCATTTCTTAGAATAGCCCAGACAGAGAACACCGTAAGAAGATTCAAGAATTGCTAGAAATGCAGAAGGAATCAATAATTTTCAAGATTATTTGTCAGAAACTTCCCTTACAGAACAAGAAAAAACCCAACATTTTTTTGGATTTAAATAAGAGGAAAAAGAGATATCCAAGATTAAGAATGATGAAGTGTACGAGGAATAAAGAGAGACAAAAGGGGATGTTCGTAACCCTATTGAGAACAAGAGAAGCTTATATTGGGGTGATTTGGACCGCCGACCGCGTAAAATATTCTGGGAAGAAACTTTAATACAAGATTTAGATAATAAAAAAAATGGTGTGATTAGTGTAACTAATTTGATAGGAGAAATTGAAGAGATCAAAAGGAAGGGAACTGTTTTTCATACGCCTCACATACGCACTGGACACTAATACTAACTCGTTGAGTTGTTGTACATCTATCACATGCAATACGTGTATGTAATTACGTGGTGAAATTAGGGCCGTCGTTGAATTGGATTTTGATTCGAATTCGATGAAATTAATGGAAGATGAATTTAAAATCTCAATCCGATAATCCGATCAAGATCCGAATCCGATAAGGGCTACTTACACAAATATCCTATATTTTGGAACAGTTTTGAAAAAAATGATAAACTTAGATTAAGTGATAATTAAGGAAATTTTAACGTAT